AGATAAATCTAATTTAGATTATGAAGATTTAAAAAAATTTGAATACATTGAAGCTGTAATAAAAGAAGGTATTAATTCATAATTGTATTTTTATTATTATTTATAAATTTTATTTTTATAATTTGTTTCACATGATGAATTTATCTATATTTTAGTTTTACGTATGAACCCTCTTGCAACAGCAATTAATCGTGAGTCAGCAAATTTTGATCAAATAGGTGATTACAAAATCCCAGGTTCAACTCTAATATCAATAAATGTTCAAAGTTTACACATGAATCCAAATTATTGGAATGAGCCAACCAAATTTAATCCTTCAAGATTCTTAAAAAATAAAAATCATGACAATAATAATGGAATTGATGAAGATTCCTTTATTAAAAATACATTTTTACCTTTTGGTGGTGGATTACGTATATGTCCAGGAAGGCATTTAGCAATGAATCAACTCAAATTACTGGTTGCTTTATTCTATAAAAAATATGAATTTGAATTGGTAAATGATAAACTTATATATAGAAATTCTATTATTAATGGTAATCAATGCGGTGAATTAAAGGTTAAATTATCACATAGAAATTAAATTTCAAAAAATCGTTTATCAAGCTTGTTACAGTAAAAAATCTTATTATAGTGGGCTTTTTTTGTTTTTTTTTTTTATTTTTTTTTTATATATATATAACACTTTATAATTAACTGTCTCTCGTTAGAGTGGAAAAAAAATAAAAACTAGATATGAAACCAAGAATCCACTGTAACGAGCCTTAACTGTATTTTGAACATTATAATAAATACAAAATATTATAAAAAATGGTTAAAAAGTCAACAGTGCCGCTACTAAAGATGGAAACCGCAATTAATTGAGGAGCCATCTTTAGCCGCTAATAACATTAACATTAATGTTTCTGAATCTTTTGGTGATCAAAAGTGTAACAACTTTTCAATTTCTTCAGTGTATTTTGATTGCTAGTGAATTTGTTACTCGTTTTATTTAAAAATAAATGATAAATTCAACAGAAAAAATCGCTGGCAAAGGTAAGCATTTTTTTTTTTTTGATATAAAGATGTTATTTATTGTGTTCAATAATGGTTGAGGATTTGTAGCTTGACTGTTTTTACCTGAGAATGGGTGATGAGTTTGGTTTTGTCGCAGCCCCTAATTGTTAAAAATGCTATCAAATTTTTTATAAAAACAAAAATTATACGTTATTGACGTTGTTTATGATATGGTTCTGTCAAAGAATTTTTTTTTAACTTGACGGCAACTTTACTGCAGTGAAGTCTGATTAATTTTATCAATCAATATTCATGTATAT